CAGTTTATCTTGATTTCTACCAAAGTTACATGGCTGATACTAACTTGAATGTATGTTCTGAACTTACTGCTCAGCATCTTCATTCTGGAACCATAACTAGTTCAAAATTTGAAACAATGCTACAGAATTCAAAGGTTTTCCTCAGTATGTTTTGTATTTCCTGTGCCTTGTGGAAGCTAATTTGGACAGGGAAGTAACTTGAACACCACCTTCATCTCGAGAGAAGATTTATGGGCTTAGTAGGCACAATGTGCTCCACAGTTACTTAAGTTACTGAGTTCAGATGTTTGTTTAATGGCAAACGCATCGGGACAGAGGGCAACAGATCTTCCTTCTGTGTGTGGTAAGGGTTGGGATGTTGAGAAAGGACTGGTTTGAGTGTGTGGCTTCCATGTATGAAGAGTGCTGCAGAAAGGAAGTGTCTCAGGTTGCTGCTATTCTTGCCTGACTTCAGGACTCTGAGGTAAAACAGTACATGGGAACAGATCATGGCTGGGTAAACTGGGTTGGTTGCCAGCCAGATCAGTCACTGAGCTGTGCTCTCATTGAGACTGTGTGACCCCTGGTTTTGAGATCCTTAAGCTGAGATAGATACCTAAAGGAGCATTAACAGTGTCTATTGGTGGCCATCTCCATGGGCCCAAGGGGTTGTGGGGAGCTCCTTAAGCACCAGGAGAGTACCAAAGCCCTGGAGGCTTCTGGTTAGTGTGTTAAGAGTTGATTTTCAACTAAATAGCTAACCTGAACTTTCAGCTGTCTGTCTTCAGGTATGCCACACCTCCTGTGAGCATGGAGCCACAGAACATCCCGAATCAAGAAACTCAGTTCTTGGCTTAATTCTAGAATAATGTGACCCCTTAACTTGCAGAAGAATTCCAGTCTCTTATCTAGTCAGGTTTCACTGGCACCTTAATCCTCAGACCAGTTCTAGGAACTTTTGCTTCTTCAGTTTGGGTTAGTGCTGCTCTCTGTTTGCAAAGCTGAGCTGTGGCCGTGGGAATTTGATTGATTGGGAATAAAACCAAAAATCAAACAAGAAACCCCCAGCCTTGTCCTCTGTCCTTCCAAAATCTGCTTCACTGTGCAGGTGCATGGAAGACCTCACAGGTATAGCTGAGGACATGGCAAGCAAAGCATGTTGGTGCAGTGGTGCACAAAGCTGTGTAGCACTGCACTGTTAATGCTAACCGTGCAACTCTCCCTGCAGATTCTCTGAGCTGAGAGGAGAATTTGATTTGTTAAAGTCTAAAATGCCCTTATTAAGAGGGTAATGCATGGAGCACTGCAAATTAGTTGCCAGGCTGAAGTTGAGTGTCAAATCTAAAGCTGCTACTGAACTGGTTGGTACGATCTTCTCTCTAGACAGGTTTGTCTTTACTGGTTCAGTCTCTCCAAAATAATTTAAATGTCCTTCTGAGTCTAAAACTGTTGTCTTAGTTGCTCTTGTGTTTGTTGCTCCCACAGTGACTATCAGCAGTGTGTGCATATTTCCTGCTGCATTTTGTCTGAACTTCTTGGATGAGCTTGTGGAGCAAGACAGAACATGATGAGAGCAGATAATATGGAGAGCTCAGGGAATACATCAGCACAGGGAGATCATGTTACTTTATCATAATCTCAGCCTCAGTCTTGTAGACTCAGACTTACAGGTGGGTCTGTGGGCAATAAAGGGAAGTCTTAGAAATCATAACTGACCTCAGTTAAGTAATAGAACTGTATGGAAGTCAGGTTGGGGTACAGAGAAGAGTCTAGAAGGAGGATTTTCAGTCTGAGCAGTTGTTAGAAGCTCCTGGGCTAGTGCTGAGCCTCACAAAAAGCTGCCAAGCAAACCCAAGGCTGATGTACAGCAGATGCACAGCTTTGATATGGGCTGCGTGTTCTGAGAACTGTCACCTACATGTTCTCTCCAGAAGCCTCAGCCCAGGGCTTGGGCTGTCTAGTCTGGTTTTTTTGTTGTACTCAACTCACTGGCAGCACAAAACTCAACCCCTGTGTAACTTAAGAAAAGAGTCTTCTATAAAACTAATAGAGAAGCTTCCATTTTTGAAAGCTGTGTACTGTAATGTAGCTTAAAATACTCCGAGGTGTTCCTATGCAGTGTCTGGCTGGGTGAGATGTCAGGCTGCAGAGTTTGGATGCCGTACATAGCTGCTCCATGGAGCCATGGGGCCTGTTCTGCTTAGTCACTTTTGTTGATGCTCTTTTGCTTTGGGATTGGTGAAAGTCTCTTGGCTTATATAAAGGGAGTTTGAGTGAGTGTGGGAACATCAGTAGCTGGATGTAAACTAAGCACTGAAACTGGAAGCACAGCTTATGGTGCTGTGTTGGTTCAGGTTTAAGGCAATGGTGATTTAGTTGTGCTTGAGTAAGAGCTGAAGTGCTGAAGGGGCAGAGTGTGGTGTGGCAGATCCTGTGGAAGGGGAAGCACTGGAGCTCTGAAGTGTGTTCTGGTCTTAAACAGCTCTGTTGGATTTGTACCTTTAGTCTTCTTCACCTCCCAAATCAGGTATTGGATTTAATCCCAGGTTCAGGACTGGGATTAAAGGAACTGAATGTCTAATTTATAAGCAGACACAGGATTCTGTTCCAAGTATGTTGCTGCTTGGCAGCTGCCCAGGTGTGTGCTGCTTTGGCTGTCAGCTGCTGCTTGGTCTGCAAAGGGCTCGACCTGAAACTGCTGCTAGACTGAGTGTAAGAGTTTTTTTCTCTGAATAGAAAAATGTCTCATTAAACAATCAGAAATGTAGAAAATACAGGCAGAAATGCTAAACCACACTGTAATATATAGTACTAGCAAGTAAATTGCACTCACTTAGGCATGGATGTGATGGAAATGTGTTAATGTAAGCATTTATGTTTACAAAGTGCAGCCTATCTTTTGCTAAATAAGAAATCTCAGTCTGTTGGAAAAATAATGTGGAAGGACCCAGTTCTTTAGAGGTGTTTTGGCTTCTCTGCTTTGCCAGGGCAGCTCTTCAGCAGGGCTTTGTATAGGACCTGCACCAAGAGCTTGTTCCCCCTCTCCCTGCTTGGAAGAGGGAACTGAATCCTTTGCTTTATGAAGCATATTTGTTATCCCTGTGTCTGTCTAGGAAATAGGAAAGCTCCTGTCTGGGCTGCAAGTAGTTAACTGCAGTGGTTGGCAGGGCCTGGCAGACACAGGGAGCAGGTGTCTCATGTCCTGGAGGGCAGTGTCAGTGTCACCAGAGGCTCTGCTGGGTGGGCAGTTGTCCCTCTGCTGGCACCAGCCCTGTGTGACTGAGCAGTGTCTCTGTGTGCCATTCTAGTCATGCCTTCACCACTATCTATTAGGGATCTTGCTGCATGGATTTCACTCCTGTGTGAGTCTCAGCTCCTGAAGAGATAGGCAAGAGCCAGGTGGTGCTACCATTTAACTTTTCTGATACGCAGCACTGACTATATCCAGGGAAAAAAACAAATCCAAACAAACCCTAGGCCTTGGTGTTGGCAGGTTTTAATGAGTAGCAGCTCTTGGCTATCCATGGTAAAGCAGCCAAGGATGATGTTTTTCATGTCCCAGTGCAAAACTTTCCTCAGACTTCCTTTTTTGTCTGCAAACCGGCCGTGCTGTTTCATGTAGCATAAATAATCTGAATGGAAAAGATCATTTTTAACTTGCCTGTGGTAACTCTAAATACCTCTCCTGGAGAAGGTGTGTGAGCTTATAGGCATTGTTTTACCTCAGAGTATTGCTGCAAGCAGCAGCTGTTTGAGCTGTGCTTCAGGATTGCTGCCATGGAAGGAATAGAACCTTTCCACAAGCAGAGGCTGATGCCACCTCCTTTAAAAGAAGCAATGTGGTTGTTTGCTTTATAGGCACCATCCATGAAGCAAATTCTTTCACTGCTTTAACTGAGGGTTTTTGTTAATGTCTGTCCCTTTCATACAGTTTGCAGATTTTCTGCATTAAAAGAGTTGGCATCCAGCAGTCTTTTTCCCTCTCACAAGGAATATATAGTGCCAGGCAGTCTTGGGTGTGAGTTGGAGTGTAAGAACTGTCTGTCTTTGGGAATAAGTACATGAAAAATGGTTCAAACTACTTAAGGATAAGGTTATTTGAGGCTGAGACAGATGTAAAAGAAATTGAAATAACCCTAATGAAGAAATAGAGAAGAAAAATGTATGTGTTTGAAATAGTGTGGCATATTGAAACAGAAGCATGCTGAATTTTTCAGTCTTAACTTCTGGCAGGCTTTAAAGTCTTGTCACTGAGAAGTGATAACTTGCAAACAATAAAGGAGCTAAATGTGAGCAGCTTGTTAGAGCAGTTTACACTGAACTCTGCATAAACCCTTTTCTCTCTGTGGAGAGGCAGAAATGAGGGAACTTGTGTTTCACAGGCTTAAATTCAAGTTTGAAAGTCAGG